CCAGGGCCCGGGACGCGCGCCTCGGAGCCGGCTCCCGGAGGCCCGGGCCCCGGGCGTGCTGCCCACCTGCCCCGCCGTCCCCACAGGTGGGCGCCCGCGGTGGCCGCCGAGGGACACCCGAAGCCGGGCGAGGCGGCCGGTGACTGCAGTTTGGAATCTTTGCTCCAAAGTTCTTAAAAATGAGACTTCGGGAAGCGATCGCAGCCGGGAATGGGCACCGCGGTTTTTGTTTGTTTTTTACCCAGCCGCTGGGTTCTGCTCACCTGCCCCGAAGGTTGCTTTATATTCGGAGGCAGGGGCCTCCCATGAGTGTAACTGGGTTTGCTAGAGAGTGAAGGCGTCATTAAACAAGTTAAGCCTTGGACCCTTTTAAAGACCCGGTGTGTGGGCCAGAGTTAAGTCACTCCATAACTTAAAGCTGTCTCACGTGTGCGGCCGTCAGAAATGTCTGTCTTTTTTTTTTTTTTTTTTTTCCCTCTGGAGAAGAATTATGGATCGGGTTTATGTTTATCTAACTCTTTATCCACTCAGGATTTGGACACTGACTAAAGAGGACATTTTGTGGGCGGACATGGCTGTTTTCATTTTTTTGGGGGTGGGGGTTGGAAGAACTGAGGGCTTAAAATATTATTTTTTTGTTTTTTATAAAACGCAGTGTTCAGGATGTGGGCATGACATAGTTGTTCTGGTTCTGTTTAATGACCTCTTTGAAGGTACCGTGTTCCCCTTAATATGGCATATCGTGTACCAGGTGTCCTGGTGGAAGGCTGACAGTGTTTGGAGACCTGCCGGCCAGCCGTGTTGTTAGCTCAGGCGAACTCTTTGAACTCTTAGGCCTTGTAGGTAAATAATTGTGCACTCGGAGTAACGAGAACTTAGAATTTAGAAACTACTGAAGTATTACAGACGGTCAACTTTTCAAATTCAAGGTGTTTGTTTTGTTTTGTTTTGTTTCCAAAGATAATTTTATATGTATTTTCTTCATGGCAAACCCAAGGTTTTGTGTGTGTGTGTGTGTGTGTGTGTGTGTGTGTGTGTTTCCCTCCTCCTAATTAAAAAGAAAAGATCTACTTTTCACAACCCAAGACCAGGTTTTGAACTTGAACACTTCACCTTGGGTTGATTGATTGCTGCATGGTATCTGCTCACAAATAAGAGTATAAATGGAATGTTTGATGTGGAAATCGATCGTTTCATATTTTCACAGCCAAGGTATACATGGTTTTCTCACAGCTTTGCAATTACTCTTCTTTTACTGGATTCTAGTGTCATCCAGCAACACAGGATAAGGAACCAAAAATAACTATTTAGCTTTAGTTTATATGTAAGTATTTTCAGGTTGTGCTTAGAAACCCAAACTTGTCACAGTTCATGTAAAAGATTCCAGACCCTGCCTTGGGTAGTGGGCAGGCGGATCCCTTAGTTCAGGACAGCCAGGGCTACCCAGAGAAATCCTGTCTTAGGAAAACAAAAAAGATTCAAGGTTGTTTTGCTGTAACTCTTTTAGATGAAAGGTCAGGACTTCACTTTCAGATTTTTCTTCTAATAAAAGATTCTAACTCCAAACATAGTAAGATTTGGTATTTTAACTTTGAAGTGGAAGGTGGAGTGGGATTCATACTTACTGTAGGCAGCAGTGACAGAGTACGGCAGCTGGTAAGTCACACAGACCCGAGTTCTAACTCGGGTAGCTTGCTAGCTGTCTCCCCAGGCAAGTTCTTTTACTTGGTAGGGACTGTGTTTCCTGATGTGTGAAATGGGGACAGCTAAAGCTTAGGAGGGAGGGTACCTTGCACATATTGGTCAGTGTATGTTCATTTCATCTCCTTATCAGGGTGCCTTTTACTCTTTTATCATTTTAAGTTGTGCTGTGCAGCCTCAGGGAGTGTGTTTTTTTTGTTTTGTTTTGTTTTTTGTTGTTTTTTCAAGACAGGGTTTCTCTGTGTAGCCTTGGCTGCCCTGGACTTGATTTGTAGACCAGACTGGCCTTGAACTCACAGAGATCCTCCTGCCTCTCTCTCTCTCCAAAGTGCTGGGATTAAAGGCATGCACCACTACCATCTGGCTTTTAATAATTTTTTTAATGGTTATTTTGTTTTGAATGATGAAGTAGCTATTACATTGGAAGCAATTCTGTGATTTTCTTTCAGAGGGTGTTTTTTCATTGAGCCAGACACTGACTCATTATTGGTTAAGACACTAGGCTACAAGATCCAAAATGCAGTGACATTCTTATTTGTTAAGTACTGAGGCTGCTTTTGCCAATCCAAAATGTGCTTTAGCTAGTCACATTTTATAGTTTTCCCTTTCTTCCAAGATCCTCATACCTAAGGTTGGGTAATTTTACACGGTTACCACTTCAAGATTGGCAGCATGTGAGACCAAGTGCTTTTGTTAAAAAAAAAAAAAAAAGGAACACTCAGCTAAGATATATCAAGTTTATTTAGTCAGTATTTGGTTTGATGGGGGTTAAGAAGAAGCCACTGAGAACCAAGAACCATATGTATAAGAAACACGTTGTACTTAAAAGAGATAAATCTCAACCGGAAATGGCCTTGTTTATAATTTTCTTTGAGTATCACCTGAATGAATTATCCTTGTAGGAAACATGGAGTTGTGTGGCTGTGAGTGAGATGTTTCATTGCTGATGTTATCAGGATGGTTGATCATGAAATCAAATTGTAGTTGTGCACACATGTATGTTTCATTAATTTAGTTGCCCACTCAGCTTTCTTCAGGATAGTGTTTCAGAACTGTATGTGAGACTTGCTCTAAAGAAAGAGCATTTATAGAGGACCTGGGTTCGATTCCCAGCACCCACACAGAGGCAGTCTGTAATACCAGTTTCACGGGATCCAACACCCTCGTCTAACCTCTGCAGGTACCAGACATGCGTGTGGTGCATATAAATATATATATATATATATATATATATATATATATATATATATATATAGTGTGTGTGTGTATGTGTGTGTATATATGTTGGCAAACATATACATAATAAAAAATATTTTTTTCAAAGTTCGAAGGCAGAGCAATGGTCATGAGTAGGAATCCATAAGCCAACATTTCTTCATGTTGTCTGGTAGCATAGTTCCACCTCCATGGATCTAGGGAGATAGTTATTTGCTTGCTTTAGGCTTCCCATGCCATTTTTAGGTTGAAGAATCCTTGGATGACTTTATTTTTATTGAGTTTCTCCTTGCCTTTGAGATCTAAAGTCACCTGTAATTTTAGTCTTTTGTGTGTTTTATAATGATCGACTATCTCCTCCACAGAAAAGATGGAGAAGAGAAATACCTAATGTCATTTTAATGGATTCATTTGGGGGCTATCACCTAGCAAGATTAGAGTGTGGCGCTGACTTAAAAAGCAGGGCTGTTGAGTCATACTCTGAATAATAAGGGTGTTGGTTGGCTGTGTCTTCCGGATGCTGAAGATTGTGCTGTGGCTTTAGCTTTACCATATTCCGACTTGTCTACCTAAGAGTGACATATTGTAGACATATTTGGACGACTACAACGCACCCTACTGGGAAAAGTGGAAATTAAAAGCAAATTACCATAATGTCATTATTTGTATTTCTTTTTAAAAATTTAACCTTCATTCACGTAAAAAGCATTTGAGCTTTTGTGTCTCCCCACAGTTTAGGGAATGAGGTCCTGATTGGGCTGAAAAGCATTGAGCCATGGTTTGCCTAACAGTTGCCTTGCTGGAGTCCTGGGGTTGTTTCCAATTCCCAGACTTATAAGAAAAGGTGTACTGCCTTTTATTCAGGGGCACAAAGGGACACACACACACACACACACGGCACATGCATGTGCTCTTTTCTGTATGATAACATGGCGAATTTCAAAAACTTTCAAAGCCAGGCAGTGGTGATAAACACCTTTAATCCCATCACCTGGGAAGCAGAAGCAGGCGGATTTCTATGACTTTGAATCTAGCCTGGTTTACAAAATGAGTTCCAGGACAGCTAAGGCTACACAGAAAAATCTGGTCTCAAAAACCAACCAACCAGACAAACAAAAAACCAAACAACAAAAATATTGAAAACAATCCTTACTGAGGAAAAAGATGGAAAGGATAGATAAGCCTGAATTAAACAGAACGAGGTGAAACTAAACCCTTCTATAATCATTGCAAACCAAACCTCACCTCCATTAACCTTTTCAACAGCTTTGTGAGACTAGTTGACTCATTAAAAAGTTTAATCCCATAGTTTTTAGTTTAGTGATAGAATTGTACAACCATCTCCACAAGTTATTTTACAACATTTTCATTGTCACTAAAAGAAGCTCCATGCTTGTTACTCCCTTTTCTCACCTCAGCCTCAGAGCAACACTCACCTACTTTTCCATATGGATGAAATCATGTATACTAGTGTCTTATAACTGGTTCTTTGATATAGCGTTGTGTATCAAAGGTTTTTTTCAAGGTTCATATAGAATACAACAGTAACTTTTTCTTTTAGTTACAGAGTAATGTA